TGATTACCTTTATTTTGATACATCGTTTGTGTTTGTACGTATCGCCAAGATGAGAAAATCAAGATTAGTATTTCCAGCATTTCTCATCTTCAGACTGAAATGGAAATATCAGCGATGTTCTACTTTCAAGTGCTTCAAGGTATGTTGAAAGTGGTGTGGTGTTTTTGAGTCCTATTTCAACTTGTGTGGGGGATAGTTTTCTACATTTCATTAATTCGTTTGTGCATTTATGACATAATAGTAGGTGATATTATGAGATCTTAGTAAATGTTAGTAGGTTATTAGGTGTTAGTATATATGAAGACATGTTAGTAGGTGACGAATATATTGCTGCGTGCGTAAGGGGTTCGTTTGAATTGAATGAACAAGTCCGATGAAAAATGGACAAAACTTTATTATTATCACAACAATAATGCTTAAATTCCCTCAGATATTCTTTCAGTATTACAATATCTCACAGTAGTTATCTTTTAACTACTCAAACGTTCAACATAAGTCAATTCAAAACAGCTAAAGAAAGCTAATCCGCGAATTCGCTACGATCAACAAGAGCAGTTTTCTGAACAAACTCTTAAAACAACAACAAACTAGCTAATCATCGAATTGAAATCGAAATCGAAATCGAGTGAATGGTTAGGCGGCATTTAGTAGCATCTGCTACTTTAACCGTCTCTGTTGGAGATATGCCCTATGGCGTTGGGAAGAATTAAAAATTAAGGTGATTTACACCGCACCGACAAAGGTGAAGCAGGAACATGTGCTAATGCACGTGAGTTGGTCAAGTAGACTTTGGAGAAGGAGCGTTCAAGCATCTGGCCGCCGTACAAGCTGTGATGTATCTTCACTAGTATCATCGAATTGAGAGGTTTCCCTCCTTTTTATAAGATTTTAAATCGCTCGCGAGAATTTTCTGGAACTTTCTCGAAATCAAAAAGAGATATTTATTTATTTATTAATTGTTAAGTGCACGCGGTCCTGTATTTTTAATTTTCCGGCTTAGCTTTCCTTTAATATTCATCACGCGCTGCAATGAACGGGGAATAAACAATTTAATTTATAATTCAACTAACATTAGCTATTTAATTACAAACTCCGTAACAATATGTAGGTAAAAAATTAGTTCAGTGTTTGTTTTGTTCATATAATGCTATAGTGAGTAAGAGTGTTTTCATTATTTGGTAGCACGTATATTTGTAAACACTATTTTCAAGAGTGAAGCACATTGAGAGCAAAATTAGAGCCAGAATCGAACTAGACATTGGTGCATTAGTTTCTAATTTTAGGAAAAATATCCCATTAATTTTATGGTCTCTTGTTATCTTTATAATAATTAATGAAATCTTAAATAATAAAATGTCAAAATAGTTCTGTGTTGCTGTCATCATTATATTAAAAAATCATAAATTAATAAATTTTAAATTACTTAAATATTTTTGTACTTTTTCAATGTGTATGTGTGTGCGCGCTTGCGCTTATGAGCGATCATTAGTGTAAGACAGAGGTAGTTTGCCTTGAATTAAATCGCAGATTTACTTGAATTTTTCTATATAGGCCCTTTTTTACGTAGATCATACACTCAGTAAATTTGAACTAAATCGATCAAACCTGCATATTTCTTTCCTAGAGGTGAAATTAAAAAAATTCTCTTTCGCCGGTAAAACCTCAGAAAACATGAAAATTTTTAAACAAATATATGCAGTTGTGTGTTTTGCTTATTTTGGAGGTCACGATTCCCATTGGGTTAGAAATAATTTGTATGGCCCAAAACATCTCGCCTTCTTCCAATGTGGCCCACAGAAGCTGAGAGGGTGGACACCACTGTTTTTCAGGATTTTAAATTTAGAGGGGAAAAAAGAACAAAAAGTGTGAAAGTACTTTAAAAATGGAAATGTCATTCAATAAGTAGTATGTTCTAACTTTGCGATCTTAGAGCTTTCTTTAGGGTTCAAATCAAATGGCACATCGGATGATATTCTTTGACGATATTCAGACTTTCTCTTTAGGAAAAATTAAAATCTATATCTACTTTAAAATATTCCTGAAAAGACTTACTTATCGAAGAAAAGGATTTGAATTAAAAGTATGGTTGTTCTTTTTTTAGTTCCTTATACGAAGTAAAGGAAATACTGTAATCTCAAAAATTTCGGGTGTCATATTTTACCAGAAATTCAATTCTGATCATTCCTGAATTCATTTGGAGGACTTTTTTTTTTTTGCCCGTCGTTATGTACGGATATAGTAAAGAACCGCTTTTCCCCCAAAGCAGATTGTAAAATGGATTCAAAAGGAATTTTGCTAGTGACGTTTGTACTTACCTAAACGTATGCGCGTACATATGTATGTATGCATGTCTATATTTTGCATAACTAAAAAAATAATAGCCTTAAAACATTGAAATTTTATTACTGAAGCTGCTATAACATCTAGTTGGGCATCTGACGTTTTTATTGCAATCACCAGAACCAAAGCCCTTACTTGGCTCAAAAGTCCTTACTCGGCTTAAAAGTCCTTACTCAGCCTTTATTTTCACAATCGTTGGCCATAGGCATATCCTTCCAGTTGCAAAAATGCTTTAAATAACGAAGATATTCATGTTTTGGCAAAGTCAAATCTTTCAAAAAATGTATTTTGGCAAATAAAGAAATCTAACTTTTAATGCGGCCTCCTGGTTCCTATACTTATATCTGGGAAAGTTTTATAATCGTTATGAGAAAATAAAATTAGAAATTTAACACTTGTACAACAAAAATTGAAAGAAATATTTAATTTCAAAATTTTTGAGTTTGGATGTAATTTTTAACATGCTTTGCTACACTCATGTCCATAAATTAAGGATAATGCAAAAATCAGGCAAAGGAAGAGTTAGGAGCAAAACAAATTTGACTTATTTGTAAAGCTTATTTATTAAACAAAAGGTAAAGAGCAAAACAAAAATGCTATATGTTTGATATTATTAAAAAATTAGCGAATTGTTCTCCCTGGAGCAAATTACAAAAAAAAAAACCTATTTACAAAAAACCAATATTACATGGTTGATATGATTGTTAATACATTGCATGTCTCCCAGACGATGCAATACAGTTCGTACAACGCCTAGGCATGCTGAGTATCAAATTATAGATCTGATCTTGGAGGATATTACACCACTCAAAAAGCAATGCTCTCCAAAGTTCCGGTTGACTTGTAGGAGGAGGTTGATGGGCTGCAACTCGTCGGCCAAGCATGTCCCACACGTGCTCTACTGGATTCAAGGCCGGTGAGAATGCTGGCCAGTCCATACGGGTGATATCCTCCGATTGAAGGCATTCGCTAACGATGTTTGCACGGTGAGGACAGGCGTTGTCATCCATAAACACAAATTGTGCGCCCGTAGCGCCCCGAAACATGTTGTTCCATGTTGAAACATGTTGAAAACATGTTGATACAAACGTACACGTTGTTCCAGAATGACGTCCCGATAGATTTGCCTTGTCATGGTTCCAATTTGAACATGCAGGTCAGTTCTGGAACCCAGAATAATTCCACCCCAAACGAGCACTCCTGCACCACCGTAACGGTGTCATTCAATGATGTTTTCTTGGTGGTAACGGGTACCTGGAGCTCTCCATATGAAAGTCCGGCGAGAATCAGACTGCAAGCTAAACCTGGACTCGTCGGAAAACATCACACAAGCCCACTGTTGCGGTGTCCACAATGCATGCTCTCTACTCCAGGCTAACTGCAGGCGACAGTGAGTTGCAGTAAGTGGAACGCATCTGACAGGTCTACGGGCATATAGACCAATCTGCCCTAAGCGTCTGTACACGGTATGCCTTGAAATTGTCGTACCAGTGGCTGAAAAGAGCTGACGAGACAGGTATGAACTGTGCTCCGCCTGATTCTTTTGGCAGTAACTGCCAAATACCGGTCATTCGGCGTTGTAACTCTGGAGCGACCTGTGCTGTAACGTCTACTCACATCTTCGAATCGTTGAAAAAGCCTGGAGATGACACTCTGGGCAATTCTAAGTTCATCTGATACTTCCAGTTGGGTACGCCCACATTCCAGACGGCCGATAATTCTATCACGTAAAAAATCATCCAAATGCTTTCGTGTCATAACTATTCTGTTATTACACTGAACTGCTTATAAAGCGCCTGCGAACAATTTTACTTCTTTGCCTGTATTCCTTATATATCACTCTCTTACACTCTCGTCATTATGACGTACCATCGGTGTCATCTGGCTACTTCCTGAAATTTGCATATGATTCTTGAAGATGTGTGTAGTGATTTTACAATGATATATTTATTTTAGAGTTCGATTTCGGCGTGACTCCGAATTATCCTTAATTTATGGACATGAATGTAGATCGGTTTATTAACATATAATCCGAGAAAATAAATTTAAATGAAATGCAACAAATATGTGTATAAATTTAATATGTCAGACAAGAAAGTGATCTGGTGTCCACATCAACCTTTTATACATTAAATGTTTTACAGATTAAATACAAATTTTAAAGTAAAATATTTTAACATTTTTAAAAGCAGATAGTATTTTAAGCAAATTAGAAATAGTATGCTAAAATTAAATTTTATAACAGCTGTAGTACAGAATGAAAATTCTATAATTAAAATATACGCTTTACATTCTCAAACTGAAATTTTGCTTATTCGTGTGTCTCACGTAAACGCCTTTTTTGAGTTTTCTCTTGTAAAATGTATAAATATTATGTATGAAAATTCTGCATAACACATTTCCAGCATTCTTTACTTGCATGCTAAGTATGGGATTGTTTAAATAGCCACGTATATTTCACATATTTTTTAACAAAATTATAATCTGTTTATTATCAAAAATGAGGGTTTCAGTAATATACCTTCAAAATACTGATAACATATTTTATAAATTTACAAGAGTACGTTTTTATTAGAATTTATATATCATTTCAGTTTTTATAATTTAAGCAAATTAAAGATTAAATTCTTATTTCAATTTCTCTGCTCTTTTATTTACAGCTGAGAGCGAGATTTGCTGACGAACTGAGTCCTAAATTGTATGACAACACTCTTATGTTTTACCGATTTTTAAAAGGTATATAACTTATAAATTTTCTAGTAAACGTTTTTGTAAAATGCTAATATAATTTATATTTATGCTTTTATTATATCTGAAATATTTTCTTCTTTCTTCAGTTTTGAAGATTATACAATGCAAATAATTTCATTTGAATGGATTTTAACCATAACAAATTTTAAATACTTCACATTGTTTATAACACGTTTCATTTTACATTCCAGCTCGAGATTTTAATCTGAATAACGCAGAACATATGCTGAGAAAGGTTAGCTCATTTTCTTAATTTTCAAACATAATATTTGTAATATGGACGCATAATATTCGTATTAATTATGTATAATATTCGTAATATTATTACAATTTTATAATTATAATAATAATGATGATGCTATATATGTAGCTAACCGAATCAACGCAAACCCAATCGATATGTTTTCAGATTCCATTTTCTCATATGGATATTGCTTTGCAGTAAGCTTCAATCTTTTCTCCTTCAATTCATATTTTAATTGCATTAGCTATATAACGGGAATTTGAAGTCGCCTTCCATGTCATGTAGTATAAATAACATCTAATATACACTACAATTCCTAAATGAAAATTACAAATATCGAAATTTCGAAGCTCATAATATTAGCTAAAGCAAATAATTCGTAATTTATCTCAACATATGCGTTTTACTAAGCTTTTTTGAAATTATGCCAGGTGGTGAACTTTTTTCAAGTTTTCAAAAAGGATATCGATATGGCTGTCTAGTAGTATCGGTTGCAGCTCGATTAATGTAGTCCGCCACATATCTATTTGTCTTTTAACTGAAATAGCTGAAAAATGAAATTTCACTTCTATCAGATTGTTTTGTATTAGACTAAAAGGGCTAAATGAGGCGAGAAAGTCAAAATGAGAGGTATTTGAATTACACGAATTCGTCACATCAAATTCTTTTAATTTTGATGAAAGGGCTGAAAGCCTTTATAATGAAAAGGCTGAATATACAATTGTGTAATTGTACAGAATATATATACTACAGAACGTTGAATATATATACTACAGAGTAATTGTACAGAATATATATACTACAGAACGTTGAATATTGAAGCTGAGTAGGGAAACAATAGGTTTAAATAATCGATTTCTTATTTAAAAAATGCTATTTCAAGTAAATCAACAATAATTCGGCAATATTAGATTATTTTTATTTAAACAGAAATTAATTTTTAAGAATTTGCGCTAAGTTGAATTTCTAAATTCCTTGTTTATCTTTAATATTTTGATTTCAGTGCCGCAGTTTATAAAAACCTTTCTCTGCTTGCCCTTCATTCTGTGCTGAATCCCATCATTCTAAAAAGAAAAATGGCTCTTTTTAATTTTGTTTTTATCGCACTCCTAAGATTTGTTCTTTAAACTGTTATGCTCAGGAACTCAGTCATTTAAGAGAGCTTTCTATTTATAGTGGTCTTTTTCCTTTTTTAATATTATGAATTCATATTTAAAAAAATTTCCATCTTTCAATTATAAAGAAAATTCTCCTGTTTAAATTCAGCGCAAAACTCTTATTGACATTCAACTGTTCCCTTTTATCTTTTCCTTTCTTTACTATTTATAGATCTTATTTCTTTTTTATATCATGTACTTCCGAACAATGGCATAAAATTTATTTTCTTCGTGAAAAGAGGGAAAGAGATGGACTTTCTCGAAATGAATAGAGTTTTACAACCAAGCGTTAGTCTCAGGTTCATTTTTTCCTGCTTTTTCCCTTCAGAAGTTGTTTGTATTTTTATTGTCTTTAGCTGATAACTGACAAATACGAAGAAAAACATTCTACAGTATTCTATTTACTCACTTAACCTCAAAAATATACCCTTTGTAACATCTTTAGACATTTAGACACATTATTAAATCTCATTAGAAATTATATTTCTTTGCTTGATTTTGTTTTCAGATGTATGTGTATGATTATATTTGATAAAGAATAAGTAATAAATTACAAGTTGATAATAAATTCATTATAAATAGTGTCTTTTAAGCACTATTTAACCTCTTGTTTAATAATTTTGACTTCCTTAAAAGCAGCATTCAAAGCGATTCTTCTGCATAATTTGGAAAATGATCTGTCTCTTTATCAGTTGGTTATTGCAGAGGTGCGCAAACTAGGGGTCGCCAGAAGTTTTCTGGGGGTCGCCAAATTTTATAGCATGTAGCAGTTGGCCTGCAATTGTTTTAGTTTATCCTCGAGTTTTATTATGTGACGTTGTGTAATTATGATTTTTTTTATATTTTTATCGGGCTTTTTTACTCTTTGTTATCAGGTATGTACTATCATTAAAGAAAGATCTCTGTTAATTTTATTGAATTTCTCGAAAAAAATGATAAAATTTTATATATTATTTGTTTTAGTTTAAATAATTTAACCCCTATCTCCATAATGGATAAATGGGTAATACGTACACCAGGTACATCTTCAGCTAACAAACGAACAAATACTGATGAGGAGTTCGCAAAATACTGAACTAAATGCCCGATCTAAAAAAATAAGAAAATACAATGAGGAATTTATTAAGTATGGTTTTACATTTTGTGTTGTTGATGATGAAGAACGCCCGATATGTGTCATTTGCAACGAAAAATTAGCAAATGAGAGCAGGAAACCAGCTAAATTAAAAAGGCACCTGGAAACTAAACATAAAGAACTTCAAAATAAACATGCCATGATGATTTTTTTCAAAGACGAGCTGAAAATCTGAAAATTCAAAGTGCACATTTAAGAAAATTACAACAATACCTCAAAAAGCATTACGAGCTTCTTTAGAAGTTTCTTATCTAATAGGAAAAACAATGAAACTCCATACATTTGGAGAATCCCTTACCCTTCCTGCAGCAACTAAGATGACATCAATTATGCATGGCGATAAATATGGAAATGAACTAAAAACAATACCATTATTAAGAGATACCGTGTCTCGGCGGATTTTCGAAATGTCACGAAATATCGAGTCAGAAATCATAAAACGCATACAAAATTCATCTGTATTTGCTTTACAACTGGACGAGACTACCGATATTACTAAAATGTCACAACTAATTATTTACGTTAGGTTTACTTTTAATGAAGATGTAACAGAAACGTTTTTATGTTGCAAAAGTTTGGAAGGAAAAACAAATGGAGAAAAAATATTCGAAGTAATAAATTAATATTTTGAAACAAAGTTCCTTACCTGGGCAAACTGTGTTGCGGTTTGTACTGATGGTACTGCAGCATTAGCAAGTTCGAATAAAGGGCTCAGAGGCTTAATTCAGAAGGTGGCGCCTCATATGGTATTTAATCACTGTATGATTCATCGGCAAGCACGTGTTGCAAAAGATATGATGAAGAGTTGCACAAAGTATTACAAGGCGCTGTTAGTTCAATTAACTACACTAAATGCAACAGCCACAACAGCCGTCTCTTTTCAATATCTTGCAATCAGATGGGCTCAACGTATGAAAGATTACTATTACACACCGAAGATTACTATTACATACTACGACGGATATTTGATTTGAGAAATGAAGTGTACATGTTTTTAATCGAAAAGAAATATAGATTGGCAAGTTATTATATCAATGAAGTTTGGCTAGGAAAGCTAAGCTATTTAGTTGATATTTTATTTTCGGAAAACTTAACGACTTAAATTTGAGCTTGCAGGGTGAGACTTCAACTATCATAACTTCAGCCAATAAAATTCAAGCTTTTAAGAATAAGCTTAGTCTCTGGTAAATTGAGCTGAATAAAAACAACACCTACATGTTCCCTTGCTTTAACGATTTTATCAAGGAAAATAATATAGATATATTTACATTTTAAAACATCATTTCCAATCACATTGAAAAGTTAAAGAAAAATGTTTCGAGAAGATTGGAGGATTTTCCTGAAAACGATCTTGGTTGGATTCGTGATCCATTTTCCTTTGACACATGCAGTTCAACTCTTCAAATTAGTGAGAAAGAGCAATTGATAGATCTAATTAGTGATTATACTCTTCGAAATCAATTTAAGACTCAGCCTTGCCAAAAATTTTGGCTATCCGTGGAAAAACAATATCCCGTTTTATGCAAGAATACCATCAGAGTGTTAATACAATTTGCATCAACGTATTTATGTGAAACTGGATTTAGCAAACTAGTTTCAGTAAAAACTAAATACCGCTCGCGTTTAGACCCTGAAGATGATATGCGAATTGCAATTAGCAACATACATCCAAACATCGATGAGATAATTAGAAACTTGCAGCCACATACGTCTCATTAAAAGGCGATTTACTGATTTTTGTGTTATACAAAAAGTATTTTCTTAAAATTATAAATAAAATTAATATGAGTCAGATATGATGATATTTTTATTCGATGAAACGAAAGAAATGCGCGAAATATACATCGTATTTGTGAACATTTATCTCTAGGGGTCGCCAAAAATTTTCTCTCTACAAAAGGGGTCGCAGTCGAAAAAGGTTTGCGCTCCACTGGGTTATTGTATACATCTCCAATAGATGATAAATTCTTAAATTAGATCTTAGACGTACAAAATGCAGCGATCATGAATGGATAATTTATGAAGGCCTAAAAGTACTGTTTATACCTTTTGGTCAGCATTTTAGATACGTCATATTTTCCTTTATGTTTCATATGTGAGTAAAGAGTGTTTTCTTACAAACCTCTTAGCATAAAAGTGATGTAAGTAACAGGATATTATAACTCCTAGACAATATATAAGGTATTTTTTAATTCTTAGTTTTAATTTACTGTCGGTGTCTTGTTTTTAAACATTAAGTATTCTTATCATATTTTATTATAATTATCGCATTTAGTCTATTCAGAATAAAATTTCATCGTGCTTTCCTCTCCTGCAGCATATTGAGTGGAGGAAAGAACAAGGTATCGACAACATTCTCTCCTACGAGGCTCCAGAAGTAAGTATACAAATTTGGAAAGGTCCCACTTATGACATGACAAATACTAAGACTGGTATCATTAGTAACCGAAACTATTCTTGCAGCATCTAAATAATTATACAAATTTAATGAATATTTGTCTTGGAATAATGAAATTACATAGACCCTGCGATTAAAAAACGCTTTGTAGGATTCGTTCTTGACCTTATTTGTGGGGTTCTGGGTTAAAAAATAAGATACAAATTATGTATCATATTCCCACGTCTTCTCAAGTTTTTATCAGATACCATGCATGTCAGTATTCGTATACAATAATTACAGCTCAGAACTAAATTAATAATAGCAAACTTCTGAAGAACAAAACCGAAGAAATAATAAGCAATAGATTACAAATTTATTTCAAATTTATTATAAATTGTTTATTTTAAACGCTATATAACCTGTTACTTAATAATTTTCACTCCCTTAAAATCAGCAATTAAAGCGGTTCCTTTCGCATAATTAAAAACATTGATTTACCTCTCTGTCAGTTAGTCATTCTCTACGTTTCTAATAAATCATAAATTTTGAAATAAGGCCTTAGAAGTATAAAATGCAGCAATCATAATTGGATAATTTATGAAGATCTAAAAGTATTGTGTATGCGTCTTGTAAAAAAGTATTATGTCTAAAAGTATTGTGTATGCATTTTAGATACGTTGTGTTTCATACGTGAGGGGGACATCGGAGAGAAATTCTTCAATAAAAGGAGAAAAAACTTCTAATAAGAAAACTTCTTCAACCTGGCAGCAAAGCCAACTTCCATCAAAGCTTCTTAACAATAAGAAAATACTTTTGACATTCATTATACAGGGTGAATCTGAAAAAGTGGACAACATTTAATGGGATGCTAGAACGCAGCTTTACAAGCAGTATTCGTCATAAAACATTTGACCGAATGAAAACGGCGAGCCACTAGGTGGCCGGGAGGATAGTTGGTTACCCCAATCATAAAATTTTTAGTAGATGGATTGGTCAAGGTGGTTCCATAGCTCGGCCACCACGACCACCAAATTTTTAGCGTTTGGAGATTTTCCTGTAGGACTCTATGAATCTAAGAGACCTAATCTAAGAGTGCTGGTTGAAATCAATATGGATCTGGTCTCCAAGATCGCCGTTGTTGCTGGATATACTCGGGAAATACCTGGTGTTTTATCTAATTTGCATCAGTACCTATCCCGCAGGTGTGAAGCTTGCATTACAACCGGCGAAAGGTCTTTTGAGCAATTTTTTAGCATGTACATCAATTACATTCCTGTTAATAAAACTTTTTCTGAAATATCTCCTCTCATTATGTTAAACGTTTCTGTCGCTCGTCGGATTTTAATAGTCATTGTAAATACACATAGCATCCTAAACTTACACAAGATGCTTCCTTCTAAAATAAACATAGTTTAGTTTTTCCTAATGAAATTGTTTTATTCAGTTGACTTTTCGTTATTTAGTTTAGCAATTTAGCACTATAATAATGCATACAGCAAATAAAGAAACGTTCACAAATTGCAATAAAATACACATGACAGAAAAAGACAAGCTTAGTTTTAGTTTCAAATCTTCAAAACATACTTAGTATAAATTTTAAAAATATTTAAATTACGTATTTATATTTGCTATAAATTTTAAAACATTATAATAATATTTTGATGCCTATGTCGTTAAAGCATTTCTTTTCGGAATGCTTTTGATACAGTATTATGAAAAAATTCTAGAAGAGCGTTGCTTTTTATTAAAGGCATCAAAAGCCGTGTGTTCGCTTATGTATCTAGAATGAAACAATCTAGAGAACGAATCTCTATAAAACAAACATAACATTTATTAAACTTAATATAACGCTGCGTAAAACAGAATAAATAAAAGGAAGTGATTAGCAGCTCCGATAGACCCACAGTAAAGCCAGTACTGGGATTCTCTGGATCAGTATCAATACAACCGTAGCAACGCGGCTATTTCTAACTCCAATAAGCAATTGATATGAGCTGCAGAGACAAATAAAGGCAGCCCAAGCGGCACTTATCATTTGTCAGGTATAAATCCCTTATGGTTCTCCATCAGCATGATTTTAGGACTAGTCGGGGAGGGGAGGATGTATCTGTAAACGAAAAATACAATGATTACTTGCAAAATGCAAGCATAAAATAGACCAAAAAACCCTCCCATAATCATTTAGGAAAACTAAAACAAAATGTAATTACCGTAATTTCCGGAAGAAACGCCGCGGCGTTTATGTGTTTAAAACTTAAATTTTCAGCGGGTGCGGCGTTTCTACCCATGCGGCGTTTAGGTTCGCTAAAAATAAAATATTTCCTATGATGGTCATTGTACATAGTTTGGATGGCCTTGTCATTGTGCATAGACTGGTGCTGTTCCCACACAAAAGACCACTCAGTTGATTTTTGCGAACGTTATTTTGTTTACATTCTTTCCCTTGAACGGACCTACATGCCTTATTCAACCTAAACGAGATCTCAGAACAATAACATTCTTCCCCCTTTCAAATCAACATTCTCATCAGTTTGAATAGTCTCTATCCTCTGCCATTCGATGAATCTTCCAGGACCCATCCTCTCCCCACCCCTGCCTTTTCTGAAATTTTTTTCAAGGCCGGACACGACTCCAACTGTTTCGCAATAACGAACTCTGACGTATTTCCTCTTCAGCATGAATGGATTTTTCTTGGCATTCTGCCAAATACAGATCCCATCAGTTTGGGTACAAGTACTTGTTGGATAGTTTTTAAGTAAGAAAGGAGCGGAAAATTTTTGAAAATATCTCTAAATGCCACAGAAGCTATACATTTCTTACCTTTAATTTATTGAGTTATGTTTTCATTTCATGCATTTTTCTTAACTGGTATGTCATATATCAGGATTTAGGTTGAAGTTTTGCATCTATACGGCCCACGACGATGTCACGCGCAATTTAATCTATTGCGGCGTTTACGCTGATGCGGCGATTCTGTGTAATTTTAATTTTTTCCCGCCATTTTTCTCGAGTGCGGCGTTTGCGCTGATGCGGCCTTTCTTCCGGAAATTACAGTAGATAAATTCTTGTATACTACAATAATAATAAAAGAAAAAAAAATCAAGCAAGACTAACCAAATTGAGTATTTTTTGAATTATCAAGTTTCTATTTCTTTCATATCCTTTCTGTATTTACGCACAAAATTCTTGCACCATGATTGAAGTTTTCTTTTAAGTGTACTCGCGCCTTCTGAAATTCGGCATGAATAGCCTTTATAGAAGCACACAGGAAATGTATCAACAAGGATTTCCGTTTAGGAATAAAAACCACAGAAGATAAAATGCAACGAGTACGAAGGTTGAACAAGATTACGAATGTCGTTTCTGCCGAAAATTTGCGTATCCTGAGATCACTTCTTTGTTGTATTATCGTCACAAAGAAATTAATTTTCATCCCTTTACTGAAGTCTCTGCAATGAACATCTCTCTCAAATGTTTTTCAGAGTCGCAATAAAACGCCGCCTTACCAAGCTGGGCCCACCAGCGGCCGAGCGGTAAAGTCGCTGAACACTGGTAGTTCGGTCCGAGGTTCGAATCCCGCGAACGGGCTGGCTGCATGGGTGTTTTCTGGTTTTCCCCATGTGTAAAGTGTATACGAGCCAGTTTCCCTTAGAAAGTCCTCCACGAAAGGCATCCCTCCCTTTAGGCAGATAGCCCTAGTGTGCTTTGCCATAATTAAATACACCACACCTTACCAAGCTGGTGGTTGGAAGAGCAAATTCTTGGTGCACATGATCTCTATATATCTAAGCTAATTATTCAAAACGCTTTCAAGGTTTTCAAGCTTTTTCTTAAAGTCTCTGAGCTTAAAATATTTGATATGCTTCATCTAAAGCTTATTGCTTCGACTAGAGGTATTAGTTCATTATCAAAATCTTGGTGTTGGTGTGTTGGTGTGTATTTAATTATGGCAAAGCACACGAGGGCTATCTGCCTAAAGGGAGGGATGCCTTTCGTGGAGGACTTTCTAAGGGAAACTGGCTCGTATACACGTTACACATGGGGAAAACCACGAAAACGCCCATGCAGCCAGCCCGTTCGCGGGATTCGAACCTCAGACCGAACTACCAGTGTTCAGCGTCTTTACCGCTGGTAGGCATCAAAATCTTGGCATTGGGGATGATGTAGAGGAGATTCAGATCGAATTAAGAAGACTATTAATTGAAGACTACAACTAAAATATTTTCAGGAAACTTAGCAGTCATGACATAAACACTGAAATCACTGTATAAATAAAGAATGGGATTTTTTGAGGGGCTTTAGTCAGATTTCATTAAGTAAGTTTTCATAATTTATTGACTTTTCATGTTTCCTTTTTATAAGCTTTGTAAGCACGTTAATTATTGAACTTTAAGTTTTAAAAAGCAATTGAATGTAAGGAAGCAAAAGTGGTGTACTTTGCAATGCAACTAGAGAATATGCTTGTAACTGAAACAAAAAAATTCTCCGTATATTTCGCAATCTGAGGTTCCATTTCTCAAGCATTTTCGTTCTTAGTAAAATAATGCAATCCAGGAATACTATTGTTCTCCGCTTGAGTTACACTGTTCTTGGTACGATTGGTATACGCTCTTGGTAGAATCTGTTCTTGGTAGAATATTTAGATGATTCTTGGTACAATATTTAGATGATGAAAAACAACATTTCAAAGAAGTAAAGACTTTCATTTTTTACAGCGTACCGCTTTGGGTCACTTTCAAAAACGATTAGAAAGCGATTCAGATTTTGACATAAACAATTAACACTTTTTTTTTTTTTTTTTTTTGCCAACTCTGAAAGTTTCTGCTATAAAATACCAACTTTTGAAATCGTAAAATTTTCCCTCCAAGTCATAATCATGTTAAATCTAAATTTAAACATGTAATACAATGTTTTAAGCTAAAGTTTCGAAACGGAATCTCGTATATTTTTTGTAGTCAGTATCCAACCAGGAGACACCTCGATCAATCAAGTTTAAAATTTAATGAAATCTGTTATTCACGGTCGAAGGATCGCCCGCTCTTCTGATAGAAGAATGTCATAACTTGCTCTCATGTTAAATCTAGGGTCAACTCCGAGCTCAAACTGGAGATTTGTTGCCGGTTCAATGGCAAAGATACTCTTAAAATCTAATTCCGCAGTCTTCTAAAAAGGGAAGGTAAAAATTATTAAAATAAAGTATCACTTTTCTACGACGGCGCCACAAATTAATTTTTCTTGTTTCTTTCAGGTCTTAGAAAAATATATCGCCCATAGCAGATTTGGATTTGACAAAGATGGTTGTCCAGCCCGATATGTTCCGTTAGGAAGAATGGATGCAAGAGGTTATAATTCATAAATTTAAATTTTGATTTTACATTTTTTTACATATTTAAAAATTCATTTTTATTTTAAAATACAACAGATTTTAATAATTTGCAAAGATTAATTAGATTATTACTCATATTTTACAAATTTGGAAGACTCTTTTGAATTCAGTATTAATTAAAAATTTGTTTTGTAAATGTACTGAAGATTTTAATGAGTTTAACCCTTTATTTGGAACTGTTGCTCAGAAGCAACATGTGTTTTCACCATTTGCCAATTAAATGATTAAGTAACACAATAAATTAAAAAAGTAAGTTAACAAAACAAATGTTAGTTTAATGAATAAGTAATTAAAATAACTAATGTTATGGACTGCTTTCTTAAATGAATCTAAATAACTAATTTTATATCATCCTCATAAGGTTTATTTATATTAATTAACCAGTAATTTTATGTTACGAATCTATACTGTCACTTCTCTCTTTCCGTTTTCCTGCCAGAATGCAAATTAGTTCTCGAGCATTTAAGTGAGGGTTTGAGACCGTTTTAGACAGAGCCTGTTATGCCTAAGAACATGCTACAAGTTATTATTCTAGGGCAAGATTCCTGTCTACGGCATTTCTTTTCTACTGTCGATTGTGCTGTCACGGCGGAGGTTAAGGTCCGCTTTCGCGTTTTAATATCTCTGCGTAGCTCTTCATTAATGCCTACTTAGATTTAGTTCAAATTTAAAGTTCTACTTTTGAGTTCACACCATAAATGTTGGCTGATTTGTAAGCATTAGATGTGTCCTCTGTCCAACTTACTTAGTTTTAAATAAAAAGGGGTTTTTACATCCTTCTTATGTTGCTGTTGCTTATTTAGAGACAGCGATAAGTCGTTTAAGTATGAGTCTTGACTTAGTGCATGTTACCAAAATACGTGAAACTCTACACCCTATCATAATGAATAATCATTTATGCAACACTACTCTTACGCCTAACGAAATGAGATTTATCGTATTTAAACTTGTCTGTTTAAAGTCTTACAGTCAAGCAGTATGCAAAGTCACCATAAGCGCAACTTGTTTTCGAGATTGGTTATTTATACAGGTTGTAGAGACATTAGGATTTTTTGGAAGCCAGAGAAATGAAAAATTAGCAACGCCTTCGCCGGGAATCGAACCACAGACCTCTGGAATACCGGCCCAGCGTGCTACCGTTACACCACGAAGGCACGCTAGGGAAGTGGGGAGAAATACCTTATACTCCCATTCTTAAAGAGCTACTAGGGTTTTAGGGGACCTAGTCTCCAAATTCTGGGTGCGGAGAATCATCATCCACAACCCTTTTAGTTCGGGCGCCACTTGTAGGGTCATTAAGATTTTTTTGGAAGCCAGAGAAATGAAAAATTAGCAACCGCCTTCGCCGGGAATCGAACCACGGACCTCTGGAATACCGGCCCAGCGTCCTACCGTTACACCACGAAGGCACACTAGGGAAGTGGGAGAAATACCTTATAAGGTTATCCTGGAAAAAGGGCGATGGCATTTTATGGCGTATTAAAAAAGCAAAAAGGAACAAGATGGCATTGGAGTGGTTTTAGTACACTCCTTTCGTTCAGAAAATATGCGGCTTCAAAATCAAAACCCCATGATGTCACATCCAACCAGGCTAATGAATGCCTCTAGTGAAAAATATGGTGAATTTACAGTGTTTAACCTACAACAGTTGTGTGTCTCATATCTTGAAAGCATTTTAGGTTTACATGCATTGTTCTAGCATATATAGTTTGAAACATAATTTCAATGTCAATTTACGGTAATTTACGGTAAGAAGTTCTGATTTTTCTTCCATACTTCGATTCTATGCATTAAATTACACCAGTAAGCCACATTTTCTAAAAGACGCACCAGCAAATTTTTCTTTTTTTTAGTTAGCACTTAGCTCCGCAGTGGTAATTCAGTTTGATGTAGTTAGTGTAAATGAGTTACTTTACAAACATATTTGAGGCTATTAAGTGGCTGAAATTAACAGACAGCGGTCTGTATATTGCAGACCTTGATATCAGTTTTAAACTTTTTTAATATACACTAAAAACTGATTCATAGGTTAATCCTAAATTAATAATTATAATGTAGTGTTAAATCAAAATATTTATGCAGTTTTGTATTTCATTCCTAACTTTTATATAATTAGATTCATTAGGGTCTTTTTTGTAGCAAGAGATGCGAAAAAATGTGCCTCGGCGAGATTCGAACCAGGACCTCTCGAATACGCGCCAAGTGCGCTACCGTTACACCACAAAGGCATGCTGAACGGAAGGAGAAAATATCTTATATCTTTTTTGATAAAATTTTCTCTCTTAAAAGTAGCGATTTAATTCGTGTTTGAGTCATACTTTTTCAACAACAATTTTCCATTGCACTCTCAATATCTTAAAATTGCTGATAGGTTTCTAATCAGCATATTTAAGTTCAATAATTTTTCTTAGAATTTGCAGTGCTTTTCTAGATCCGATTTATGACGGCATGCTATCACTTTTCTCCGTATCATTTCTAGATCCGATTTATGACGGCATGCTATCACTTTTCTCCGTATCATTTCTAGATCCGATTTATGACGGCATGCTATCACTTTTCTCCGTATCATTTTTGCATTTTTTGCCTGCCTGTTTCTGTAATTATTTTAATATTTTTCATAGTTAGATTTTATACTGTTGTGATAATTGATGCGCGTTCTAAAAATGAATCCTAATAATACTCTCATTGATGTTTGAAATATTAACTATAGTTTGCAATTGATCTAAAGCTTCTTTTACATAAAAGCCATATTTTCAAGAAACAGTTGTTCACTTATTTTAATGGATTAACTCCTTGCATTGACTGTAATATGCATGGGCTCTAGCAGAGATATCGACTTACTGATCTTCTTTGAAGTGCTTGCATTTTCACAAAATTCAACTATGTTCATCCTTTACAAAACATCTTTTCTGAAAGCTTTTATGATACTGTAAAATTAAAGTTTGAATGTTAGAATTTATATTTGCAGAAAGCGACGCTATTGTTTTTCAGGAAGACATCAGAGAAGTCTACGCTTCACAGTTATCTAATAAAGCTGTTATCGTCATATCATTTCAAAAGAAAACAAGTAAAAGTACTACTCGTAAAGCATGAGCTCTTGTTGCTATGAAAGCTAAAAGTAAATTTCTGACTTCTTCCAGGCCCACCAGCGGGCCGAGCGGTAAAGTCGCTGAACACTGGTAGTTCGGTCCGAGGTTCGAATCCCGCGAACGGGCTGGCTGATGGGTGTTTTCGTGGTTTTCCCCATGTGTAACGTGTATACGAGCCAGTTTCCCTTAGAAAGTCCTCCACGAAAGGCATCCCTCCTCTTAGGCAGATAGCCCTAGTGTGCTTTGCCATAATTAAATACACCAAATACACCTGACTTCTTCCAAACATCCAGGTTTTCTGTTTTGCCAATGACCAGTGCTGTCTTCCTCATTGTTGGGTCCATCCTGCATATTAATAACAGAGAAACTTATTCCTTTAGTTTTTTTTAAACCAACTGTTGTTTTACTTTTATATATAAATGTGTATTCTGCAATACTCTGTAGCGCAATCCAATGGTGTCTGTATTATAAATTCTGAGTCGCTTGTACTCATTTAGCAACCCATATAAAACGTCTTTTATGCAGTTATCAGCTGCATGATGATCCGCTTCTTCCTCCTCGCTATGTAATTTCTGATGAAACAATCTTAGATTTTTTCCCCCAAATGGTGAGCCATCCACTCCTATCAGTTAGCAAATTACCACAAAAGCTCTAGAAATAGAAACATTTTTAGCTAGCTTGAAACCATGTGGGAAAACAATTTCATTGTCTCTCGATTTTCCGGATTTTTTTTCCGCTTCTTTCAGGTATTTACAGTTTTATAAGTTCTTCATTAATTATAATTGACGGAAAACGTTTAATAATTTACTTTCTCCTTCAGGCTCAAGTCTTTCCGCTAGGCATTTCGGTATGTTACAAGTTAAGCTCACAAGAAATGAAAAAATACTTTTTTCAGCGATATATTCAGATTTCAAAATTTCCATTTCTATCCAGCAGAAAGTGTTTAATCGTCGTTTAGAACAGAAAGTGTTAGTCCAGCAGAAAGTGTTTAGAGAGTGTTTAGTCGTCTCTTTATGTGTTTAGTCGATCTGCAGCTTACAAACATTACCCATGTTGTCTTTGCTTTTTCCTCAGTCTACATTTACTACTACATTTTCGTTCAAAGCCATTGCTATATTTAGTATGCAACGTTATATAGCAAGGCTTGGAAGTATTCCAATTAACTCCAATTAACTTTTTCATAACTATCTAGGGAAATATTGTGTCTATCACAAAGGAATGATTTTGAATGTGAAAACCTGAACAGATAGGATATAGAAATTGCACTTCCACCTTCTATCAACTAGTATTCAAAAACCAAAAGCCTCCTCATTTACAACGCCTTTTGGCTGATGCGTACCATCTAAATAAAAACTTAAAAACTTTTGTACAACCACTACATTTTTGCCATTTGCACAACCTATTGAGTATTTGTATTAAATATGCGCACATAAAAAATATTAGATAAAAAAAAATTGGTTAGCATTTTAATTATCAAAATTTACATTTATAAGGCCTTTCTCTTGCCTTCTTAGCATGTCTTCGTGATGTAATGGCCAGCAAACTCGGCGCATATTCGGAGGTTCGGTAATTTAGGATTAACTTTTAATTTTGTTCTGTATTTATTTTTCAAATATAACATGAAAGAAAAATCCTTGTTCACACAAATAGGTGGTGCAAAAAGGCAATAAAAATTTGATAGCTTTAATTGAAATGCCTTTAAATTCTTTTTTTCGTTTCATCCAAAAGTTAACAAGTGTGTTATTTTTTAAATCTTCAGATATTGTAAGATTAAATGATTTTAAGCTCAAAAATATTTTTTTCTTAAATTAAAATTTAATTAATAACTAAAATGTCTTGCTTCTCTTGTAATTTTCAATCTTTCCGTTTCAGATTTTTTTTATTAAATTTATTAGAGTGTTCTTAATAATTTTAAGAATCGGTTTCGCAGTTAATTAATTAGTTTGTGAAAAAAATAAAAAGCCTATTTTTATGTAAGAACTTTGAAAAAATATGATCTCAATCACACTTTCACTTTCAATAATTTTTCTTTTCACTATTTTGCAAAACCCATCCTTGTTTCTTTTAAGTATGTAATTTTAAATAAGCAGGAAAAATATTCAATAATTTAGTTCTTATCTGTATAAATTTTAGTACTTTAAGTAAGAGGATTTATTGAAAAATGCTGAGAAAACGCAGTTTGAAGAATATAAACTGTCTGAATGGTCAGCAAATCATTTCAAATTTCTTAAAAAAAAATTTATTACTGAATTTCAATACACACACACACACACACACACATATATATATATATATACAGGGTGTCAAGTAAATGTTGCGACAAACTTCTAGGAGAGGTAGGGCCCATCATATGGATTAAGAATTGCATAGGAACCCATAACCGGAAATGACAGGGGTAAGTAATAGCAGAGGTAGAAGATGGGAAAGAAAAGAAAGAGAGTGATTAATTTGAAACATTTATTGGACGTGAATGCAAATAGTGTACGCTAGCTTGAATGTTACAACAGATGTTCGAAGTTTGCACCATCAGGCGCCAAACATGCCTGACACCAACGGATCATTGATTGCCGGGCATGTTCAAACACACCCTGAATTTCTTTGATTGTAGCAGCTGGGCAGGTCAATCTTGCCACAAGATCCATTTTAGACATAACAGAATAGTTATACATGGCTTTTGATGGCACCTCATAAGCATACTTTTGATGGCACCCCATAAGCAGCATTAAGCAGTAGCCGACCAAACCCGCCCAAAACATTAACTTTGAAGTGTTGTTGTGCCGCGTGGTGCCGCACACCGTGGGGATTTTCTTGAGCCCATAAATTCTGAGTGTGGTGACTGAATGCGCCATCCGTATTGAATATGTCCTGATCCGCGAACAACACGTAAGCTGGGAAATTACAGGCAGAAACCACTGTGCGAAACGCAGACATTAAAGATGGTAATCGGGGAGCACTAATTGAGCCCTTTGGAGACGGAAATTGGAGAAAGGAGATTGGATCTGCTCGCCTCCACACATATTAGTCAGTCCTCATTGTACAGACATTTACAGTTTTCCGAAAGATAATTACAGTTCACAGCCTTTGTACGAATCTGAATACTGGATCTTTCGACTGTTAATCGGTCATGCTACTGGGTACACCACGAGATAACACTGATGATGTCTTAAAGCTTACTAGGAAATATTAAATAATTTTTTGGGGGATTACAATTTCATTCATATCTTGTGTTATCAGTTAAGAAGGATATGAAGAGCGAAAACTCACCAAACAAGTTGAAATAACTATGTGTGTTATGCTGAATATTCAGTTAACTCATATCTCTGACTTTAGAATTTTACGTGCTGCTTTTTCTAGGTTACTATTGGTCAGCTAGACCCAGCGATGTTAATAAAGTCGTCATACGTGAGTTGGAACGGGATTTGTTAATTTTAGAGGATTACTGTAACAGGGTAAGCATTAAATTTCACGTTATTTTATTATGTTCTATGAATTTTGACATATTTAAAAAAATTAAATTTAGACTTTCCCGAGAAATTTTCTAAATCAACAAAAACATAAAAGAAATTACTGTATGTTCCGTCATATAGTGAGCACCTGTAATTTCAAACTAAATATTTTAATTTTTAGGCATATTTACCGTATAACGCCCGCCCTTTTTTTTACAATAAAATTTTAAAGTTACTTGTTCGTCGCTCATCATACTTACCTTTTGAAGTCATTTATTTAAAGATTTTTTATAATGGTATACATTTTTACAATGGTTATCCGATAGTAAAATTTTTTAGATATGTCATTTAGATTAAATAAATAGCATTTAGGTACATGTAAAGAAACCTAATTTTCTTACGCTTTTCTTTTCTTTTATCAATGAAATTCTTATATACGGCATACAACGCGCGCCTGTAAATTTTAATCTTATTTTTTGTATTAAAAGTGCGCGTCATACGGTGGAATACACGGTAAATATATACGGTGTTCTAAAAAGCTACAGGATTTTCCCTCTGAAGTTTTAATATCATACATGTGATTTCAATTACGAAGTTTCTCGAAATAAAGTAGAACATTTTATGGGGACAATTTTAGGTCTGGAAATGACTTTTTAATGCACAACTGAATTCGGGTACAGTCTTTCAACCTTAGTAACCTGATGAGTAAAATATAGTAATTTCTATCTTTTCTATTAGATACTGAAGAATTCCTATGTATATAGGGTATGTATATTCTTTGTATTGTGAGAAAACGGCAGCATTTACAGCCACCAAATTTTAAATACATCCTTAGTCATGCATCGCAAATGTGCATCTCGATGTCCAAATTTTGAATTTCAAATTCGGTTCTTATTTATTTTAGATTTTGTGAGAATTTAATGAATTTTCGTTTAAAAAATTATGCTATTTAAAAGCACTGTGTTACCCACTTCCAGAAACAAAATACTTTTATTTTCCACGCACTAGTGTGTTGCCATTTTGCCATTCGATAAAGAATAATATTGTTATCTTAACAGCATTACGGGTCTCAGGGCAAATCGGTGTGCCAAAGTCCCTACGAGAAAGACTCACACAAATGAGATGTAAATGGGCGATGATCCTAAGTATATATTTATTTTATTGGTATCTTAGCACAACAAAAATGTCGTCAAAACATAACCACGGATTATATTGCACGGCATGAAATTCCTACGAGGTTCTTATTATAAAAAATATCTGCGGAATTTCCTTTCAACAAATTGCTTAATTTAAATTGTTAATTTCAAGTCAATGGTCTTCAGTATGTCGTTTTTCATGAGCATGGGTGGGAAAGTCCAATTCAGGCGCTGCTGTCCCATTGTGTTACGAAGTCTTTTTTTGTGTGTGTGAATTTCAGTTTGGATTTAGGCAACATTTTAAGCCAAAGTTGTTCAATAATTACACAACTTTGGCGCTGCAATTACCAAAAATATTTCTAAATTTATAAAAAATAATTTAAAATCTAAAAAAAAGGAAACATAATTTGGTTTTAAATTACATTAATTTAATTTAAATGCAAAATATATTTCATTAATGTCAAATCAATTGCCATAAACAGATTAGCATAGGGTCCCTATCCTCATGGGCTCCTGTGCAAATGACCAAAGCATTCATGTGCTATGACGGCACTGATTTAAGACGGTAAAGTATTTAGATTTCAAACTAAGCAATTTCAAAAGCTTTAAACGCAATTCTTATACCATTTTTTAAGATAAAGTGTGAAGAAATTTCTAAAATCAGGAAACTTCGTGTATTAGTTAAAAAATCATGAAATTGAGGTTTTTCAAAAAAAAAAAAAAAAAATAGTTTTCATCGTAAAGACCAAGTGCTACTGTAAGGTGAGAAGATAAATTAATTTAGAAAATAACACTTTTGTCCAAAAAAATGATTTCATGACAGCATTAGTACTTTTGGTACCAGGGGACACAATTCGTAAGTCGTAATAAGGAAAGTGGAAAAGTACTTTATTGGGTAAACCGAGAAATAATAACTTTCTAAGACTTTGTCGCAAATCACAAAGAATATAATGTTTTCTTAGGGGTTAAGAGAGCATTGTTTTATATAAAAAAGGAAATTTAGGCCCTAAGATCCAGGCAATCATTACCACTATTGGGTTGTCCGAATATAAATTACATAGGCAGCAACCTAGGGCGCCAGCTGACTTGTTCACATAAGCGACGATTAAATAAAAGTATGTATTGCTTTGAATTACACTGGTGGCTAAAATAACATACACACTTTTTTCAATAATTCAAAATAACTAGTACTAAAATTTGAACTTAAAACAATTTAACAGAAATAGCAATTCATTAATGCGTTATAACTAATATAGTGTCAGTTATATACAATCTAGCAATTATATTATGCCAGTATGAACAACTATGTAATTATGCATTTAGCAAAAAATCCTCAGTGAAACTCAGTGAAAGTCAGCAAAGGTATAATTAAGATAACTTTTTAATTTTTTTTATACTTAAAAATCATATTTATACATCCTGTTGCATTCCAAAAAGGCAACGAAGAGCAAATTAAAACTTGTAGAGATATTTGAATAACTGTACAATTTGTGTAACCGTGTATGTCCTACATCTGTATAACTGTGCAGCATTTTCAGTAGCTTTGCTCTGAATAATGGCCCTGTTTGCGCATTCTACTGTTACGAAATGCTCAAATACTGTAAGATAGCTTCCCCGCAAAGAGGGTTTGCGTTTGCCGGAAAATGGCAAGAAAATGATAGATTTGACCCGAAATCTCCTGTTTGGCGACAAAATTGACGATATGCCATAGACGAAGCGAGAACATTCTAGAACGAATTCTTACCGGTTTTCCCGAGAAAGTTCCGGAAAACAGGTCTAAAGCAATACATACCCTGGCTGTACGCGGAGTAGAGTGCATGTTGAGTTCCGTATTAGTGATTTGAGTTTAAAGATTATTTGAGGGTAACCGAACCGAGTCGACAGTTGTACTTTAGTGCTTTGACGTGAAGTCATCTTCAGCATTGTATTCTGAAGGCTATGTTGCTGATCAGCGTGTTTGTTGTAGTTTTTCGACAACTGTAAACGTGTCTTTGGAACTCTCCTGCATAATACTGGCGAAAAAACTGTGTTTTGGTTTTTCATCAAGTGTTGTCGTTAATCACTCAAAATCCACGAATCCGTATAACGCCGTAGAACAGATAATCAAACGCCATCTGAACTGCCAATCCATCTTTAACTGGGATTTTGTGATTAATAGGTATACTCCGTGATACATATAAAAATCTTGTTTGGAACACATCTGTGGCAATACTTTCCTAAACAATTTAAGAGAGTATTTGCCCGTAGTCAAGAGTTATCTCCATGGCGCATTGCGACAACAACTCCTAGTTTTTTCACTCAAAAGATTCTCCGTCCTCGCTTAGAGTTAGATTTAACTACATATTTAAATATCGCTAGCCTTTATCGATAGTCTGTAGTATAAAAATCTGCAAATGTGCTTTAAAAAATAAGCTATCCTACTGTTAATTTCAGCACGATAACATATCCATACGTTGCAGGCTAACCATGCACTTACAATCACAATAACAGTTTGTAATTTCTTTTTAGTTTGGAAAAGTAATAGGGGGATGTGTTTATATATATGACATGGAAGGCCTTTCATTTTCCAAAGCTACAGACAGAACACGTAAGTATAATTCTTATAAAGTATATTTAGTAAAAACTTATTCAGTAGTGTCATACATAATGAATGCGTTTCATGCTAAACGTTCTTCATAACGTTCACTCTCCCAGACTAAAACTTGTTCAGCATAAAACTCGATTTGGTATGCTAAATGCCAGTATTTTTCACACATTAAATGTACACATCAATTTGCTTTAATTTGCCGCTTGACTCGTAAATAGAAAACATTCGTCTGTACATAAATAAAAAAACAGCAGTGGAGAAAACAAGATAGCATATATACCACTGAAAACCATAACTTAAACATAACTAAGTCGGTTTTCTGGTGAGAAAGAGAAGAAGACTAGAAAGTGTTTATGCCTATTGCAATTACTAAGGACATCTTGAAAAAGTGAATTTACAATGTTACAACCAAGAGAAGCCATAAATTCAAAATAAGATAAACAGATTGGCTAACCTGTTCAGTTATGATTCCATGCGCTGTTTCAAAACCATCCTAAAAGGGAAAATAGAGAGAAGCACATAGTTACACAATTTCCTTTTATGCAATTTCTTGAAACCTGGACCTGCTCGTATGCCTGAGGATCAAAGATACCCAAATATTCTTGTTCTTGCTGGAAGACTAGGCAGACTCAGACTAAATTAAACTAAGAAAGGATGAGCTATTATTCATTTATAATGAAAATTTTTAATTAATAAATAGTCATGAAATTCCTAGCATTTATACCATTTGCGAAAATTTTAATATTCTCTTAAATTTTTTGCATTATTTCGTGATTCTATACTCAATTCAGAAATGGATTAAAATTACTGCCAAGGTAAATCTACAAGAAATGAAGTCCACCGTAATGAAAGATTTACACATTTAACACATAACGGAAGATTTGCACATTGTGAAACGACCTGGATTCGTTGTGAGAGGTACCACTAATTTCTCTTGTACAGGAATGTTATTTTACGATACAATCTTACTTTGTATGATCTAGCACTTTCGCTGTCATAACATGGTTACTAGATCTACTTAAGTGTTGTTGTACCTTGCGTATTCTCGCACAGGAGGAGTGATGATGAACACAACCAGGGAAAGATGTAAAAGACTCTTTTGTTTATCACAAACTAGTTAACAGGTATCACGGACTTACGTGATCACAAAAAACATATCGACCACTTGCGGTAAGAATTTAAACGATAAAGTAAAATTGAGATAAAGAGTAGTGCGAGACTACACAATTCACTTTAAACAAGCAGGTTGACTCAAAAACTTACACCGGTAGGATACTAAATGGATGGCAAGAATGCCTAACCAATATTAAGATTCACAGCTGGTAGAAACTATCAAACGTGCGCTCACAATAGCGAAATCACACTCTGTCTAACCATTTTGCTGCAACAGTTTAAATACTCTGGTTCATGCTACTTAATTTATATCCTGGCGAGAAGACGCTAGGAGAAATAAGAGAATTCAGGAAAGGCTCATAAAATAAAATAACTCTTAAAAATGAGCAGAACACTACAACTTTATGTTGAATTTCCTATGATATCACATTGTCTTCAGTCGTCACTCTGAACTACATTAGTATATCTCGAAGTATTTGAATTCTTGTCACTCTTACATGATGTTTTAGAGCTTAGGAAGAAAATGAGACTAGATTTTTATTTCTTTCCATCGTTTGCACAAATCTCCCTTCTACCAGGGCAAATTCGTTTCTGAGTTTGGCGACAGATGAAGCATGAACTATAATTTCTAAAGGAGGTTATAAATATTAATATCCGAGAGACAGCTGACATCACAAAAGAAAATTCTTCTTAAACAGTAGAAGCAGGAAGCATTTTCGAAAGACCGATTCTTCAAGAAGATGCAAAACATTTTAGTTAAGAATAATAGTACTCAGTTAAAATTAGTTACAATCACCTCGTAAATTCATTTAATTAAAAATACTGCTTTTACTGTTTTGAAAAAAATTATATAATATTTAAAAAAGCTCTTTAAAGATTTATTGTTTTTATGGCATTGTTCAATTTGATTTATCCACGTCTTACCACATTTTTAAACTCATATTAACCGGACATTTTAAAACCACAATACCTCTAGATAGTCAAAAAATCTCTGTAATCGGTATATTATTTGTCCAATTCGTATTTACTCTACTGCGAGTAACTCTTTTCCGTTTATCTTGCTCAACTTAAACAAAGACTTTTCACATTAAAACTAATATAATAGGCATGTTTGAAAACGGATTCTAAACTTTGCCTTATTTCTAAAATCACTGATATCTGAGTTCTATGTTTATCAGGAAGTTTAGTTTCTATGTGACTTGTTAAGTTGGCTAAACTATATTGCTCTTATGCATAATAATGCTACCCCCTTTGTTGGCATATCAAAGGAAAACTATTGCACTTCACATTCAAGAAATAAAAATATTATCCTTCTAAATAAAAGAAAAAAACAAATGCATGCACAAAAAATTTCAGACGTGTATCAAAAGTTTAATAAATATAGTTTATTGTAGTTATCAAAGCGCAAAAGAGAAAAACCTACACTGAGTGTTTTTTTATACATTCCAAATTCTTTTAACTCAGGATCTCTTTAGAACAGTGGTTTCCTTCAGTAATTCAGTTCTTCGATTCCCTTATATTTTCCTATACAATATACAGCATACAACATAATCATAATACAAATAATTTGTTATAAATAACTGTAAGTTAAACAAAGAATACGAGCAAAGATTTTGAAAAAAAAAGGTTTATTAAATTTAATATTTATCATTTTTGTATTATCATTGTTATTATTATAAATATAACGCATTTTTAGAAACAAAATCTCAGATTCTAACTCCACAAAAGTCTGATTTTAATTAACATGATGGCTATGCTTGATGTACTGAGGCAACGTTTTTCAGTTTTTTTAATGTTGGCTTACCTTAATTCTTAAATTATTTCGTTCAAAAACATCCAGCCTTTTTAGACCAAAGGGGGGCATTAGCCAGAATGGGCTATTAGTCTCGAAATGGCATTTTACATCGTCCAAACAGACAACCGCTTTTCAAATTGTTGCGACTAATTGCTATCAGTATTATCTTCAAAGAAATTAAGTATCGAAGAATCTGAATGTACGTATGTATGTTCGTCGCCATTATGAAAACACGACGGTAGCTAGGGCTATTACATTTTGAATAACGTTGTCCTCCACCAGAACATTTGCACCTGAATGCCCAAATTTTGAATTTCGAATTTTATATTTCATATTATGATAACTTTAATAAATTTTTGATTAAAAAATTCAACCACCTGAAAGCAAGCACACGCAACACTCTACCGAATAAAATATTTTTATTTCCAGCACGCAAAACTTTCTGTCATAAATTCTAAAGATATGCTGTTTTTAAATATTTTGTGATTTTGCTGTTGAATAGAATTTTATATGGCGTAAATGCAAAGAACGTGATGGTTAATAAAACGTTAATAATTAAAAGAAACGTTAATAATTAAAGAAAACGTTAATAATTAAAGAAAACGTTAATAATTAAAAGACAAAAAAAGTTTTATAAGCCATCTTACTAAGAACACTGAACATTAATATGATGAATTGAGAAAAGACTGAGAATAACAGAAAACGTGTGCCAACACTTAACACTGCATCGGAAATTCTTAACATATGCTGCTTTTAAATTTCTTGTAATTTTGCTGTTGAATTGTACATGGCCTAAGTGCTAAGGAATTAGTGCTTAATAATAAAGCTAACAGAAATCAGTGCAACAGCAGACTGGTGGATTAAAAGTTCAGCGAGAGCATAAAAACCTTAACAAATCCTTTTGGGCAATCCGTTAAAATCTGTACTCTTTCGGATTTTTATTTATTTACTTTTTTACGTAGTAAATTATTGTCGTGACTTAACATTTATTGTACTGAAATTATTGTCTGCTCCCTCTATGTAAGAAGAAGGAAACGTCAATAATGTTGGTAGGTTTTAGAGATGTTTCTCTCAGACGACATTAAAATCCCAAAACTTAGTGCATCTATGTGTTTCAAATAAGACTGGTGCTTGAATATCCTTCTTAAACGAAATCAATTCTTTTTGCAGCATAATACGAAGATCAAATGTATTTCAGTTCAGTGAGTCCTGCTGGTGCATTCCAAAAAATGCTTATGCTATGGTTATGCTGGCGTATTCAAAGTTTCAACGTCTTGGAAGCGAACATTAACGTTTTATTTAAATTTCGCGAATGGCTTGTAAGGAAGGAAACGTCAATAATGACTTCAATTTTTATATCTGATATGACTTCAATTTATATCTTCTGAGGAAATTTTGTGTACTTCGGATTTTTTTTTTTTTTTTTTTTTTTTTTTTTTTTTTTTTTTGTTCTTTCTTGTATTTCTGCATTTTCCTCCTTTATACTGCACTTATTGCATAAAAACGTATTATTGACTTTTAGAGTACATTAAAAAAGGTTGCCCATTTTTCTCTTCTGTTTATTTTATATGATTTCTTCCTTAATTCACGACATAGTTTTATATCAATAAATAATTAGTTATAAGTTTTATTAATATTTTTGTATAATCAATGGGATCTTGATTATACTATAAATTGCCAGTGCATATTCAGTTATCACCCTTTAAACATCAATGAATTCTTTTAAAATTTCATCCCCTGTTTTAAGCAAAAAAAATTGAAGTCATTGTTTATGTAATTTTCTCCCAGAAAACCTCTTCATTGCTTTTCTTATTGATTACTTGCAGACAGAAATTTTTCTCTTTGCACTACCTTTAACAGTTTTTTCATGCTGTAAAACCTATTATAGCTAATTAAATTTTATTTATAGTAAATAGTTAAATATAGTGTAGAAAGTAGTGTTTAGTAAATATTGTTTTTTTCATTTTTTTCAGTCATTGCGAATTTTATGCAATTATCTAAAATTTATCAAGATAACTACCCGGAGATGTTGAAAACTTTATTTGTCTTAAACCGTAAGTAGCACTATTAATAATTTTTAAAATTACAGCAACTGAAGATACAATATTATAAGTGAAAATAAATAAGTAACCTTTCATTATAAGAGAAAAATATGCCATTGGTGAATCTCTTTATAGTTTTGTTTCCCTTTCAGCTCCTATGTTCATTACCATCCCATTTGCAATCATCAAAACATGTTTAACTGGAACTTTAGTCAGCAAAATTAATTTTACGACAAAACGTAAGTGCATTAGACATTTTCATCGTTTACACAAACAATTCGTTGTTTATGTATTTCATTTTTTTAAATTTTCATTCTTTATATTTTGGTGATTTCATTATGTCCTAGAAAGTTTTCGAAAATAATAAAATAAACATTAATAACTCCTTTTGCATTCTGAAGTGTATAAAGTGTCGCAGCAGCTTACAGCTTAATAGAATTCCACATATCTTGAGTAACTAAGACCAGCACACCAGTGACCTGCAGGTTCACCTCTGGTGGCTTTCAAACTGCGAGTCATTAGCAGCCAACATACTTGACGAGTAGTGTAAGCTTCAGTTTAATTTTAATTTAAAAATATCTATAAAATTACCATACTATCCAGACTTTCCGGTTGACAGATTGTGACCGCTACCGCGAGTCGCAGCCATAACCTTAGTGATGTGAATATTATTCTGCCTTCATTATGGATAGTAACTCTTTTCTGTTCACGCAGTAACTCCATTGAGACATTTCAGACTTTTACTAAAAGAAATGCTAAGGCGTTTTCCGCTGATTATTCCTTAATTATACCTATTCCTATACTGCTTCTGTATCCAGAACTTATGACGAAGTTTAGATTGGTTATAAATAAATATGAGAGTCAATATTAGAGCTCACTTAAGTCTTTTAAAATCCCTATCACATCTAGCAACGCGCGTGGCTAGACGGGACATTTCAGAGAAACAAGATTCTAGTAGCACTGGTTTAAACGGGAGGTTTCCGAGAAAAGTTCTCTCTAGCCGAGGAAACGATGTCCTGGCTACAGGGAACATTTTGAAACTTTCCGAAAATCTTGCGTTTGCAATTGTGTTCCACGTAAAGATCAACCAATCAGACATAAGTTCTGCTTCTGAAGGATCACGGGTGATTTTCAATATGACTGGAACTGTGACATCTTGGATCGTGGAAATAGACGCCGATTCAATTGAAAAAATACGAAAAAAGTCCTATATATATATATTGCTGTTTTCTTCTACTATAACTGGCTAAGTCATTTTTAAAATGTTCATTAAATTTATAATCGTGGAAATTTCACAGTAGACAGTATTTTATGACGTGCTTTGTATTTTTAATAATTTGTTTACAAATTATTCGTCATCCAAATTTCGCCAAATTTGTCGTATTTCGTAATGATCGTGTGAAAAGAAATTTCATTGTTATATAATAGAATTTTTTTATTAAATTTAAGGTGAATAATTTTTTAAAATCTGCTTGTATATGCGCGATTTTACTTTTCTGCTAGTTACTTATCTTTTAAATTGAAATTGCATAATCAGCGACATACTGTGAATTGCATAAAAGAGGAAAATATAGCTTATGTAATAATGAGAATACACATTAATTTTGTATACTATTATTTTCATATTATTAATGAAATATTTTTGAGATTATAAATACATTAAGAACTATATTTTTATTATAAATGCTACATATTGAAATATTGGAAATTTATGGATTTTGTTTATGAATAATGAAAAAAATTTATATATACATTCGCATCTCTCTCTCTATGTGTGTATGTAAATATATGACTTATTAGATGCGTATGTATACATTTGTATATATATGAATACAAAAATGAACATTTCCAAAAAGCTTATTTGAAGTCACTTCTAATTCATATAACGATCATGTAATTAGCAGCAACTGTAGTCATTATTAGCAGTCATAACTGTAGTATTATTTGCATGTTATTAATGAAACACTTTTTAGAGTATAAATACATTAAGAACTATATTTTATTATAAATCTTACATACTGAAACACTGGAAATTTATGGATTTATTATTATGAATGACAGAAAACATTTATATATACATTCATTAATATAAATCTTATTTATTAGATGAATACACTGCTGGCCATTAAAATTGCAACACCATAAATGAAAGCAAATAAAAAAAGTTATTTATTGTACGTAAATAGTATGGCTTGATAACAAAATGACTAAATTTGTAAGCAGTTTAAGGGTTTACAGGGAAGCTAAATTAATAGAAACATCTGCCACTTCTGGCAGCTAAAACAGCCGTTACCCGGTTAGGCATGGAATCTAACTGGGCTTGGATGACAGAAACGGGCAATTCATTCCATGCTGCTTCAAGTCTATGCCACGCTTCATCAATCGTATCAGCTGGAGAGAGGTGGCGGGCCAGTCTCTCAGTAATCCATGAACAGATGTTTTCAATGGGTGTCAAATCTGGAGATCTTGCAAGCCAGGGCCGCAATCGAATACCCTATGTATCGAGGAGACGAAGGTCAGAACACGATATGCAACATGTTGTCTTGCATTACCTTGTTGGAAGATTACGTTTGGCAGGCTTCGACGATAGAGCACAACCACTCGACGTAAGACGCTAGAAATGCACCCATCTGCGTTCAAATTACCATCGGTCCGAACCAGAGATTTGCGTGTCGTGTACCCAGTCGATGCCCAAACTATCACATCACATGCAGAACCGGAATTCGACTGAAAAGACGACATTGTACCTCTTCTGTATCAAGCTGGGCGTGCTGCAAACATGCTCATTCCCTGACTAATGGTCCGTGATGAAGTTGTACGGTTTTGCAGGTCTGAGTTCATAATACTTGTATGTCTGTCTTCTCGAATGTTAGTCATGGGAAGGCGTTGAGATCCAGCATGCCGTTTAGTATGACCCTCAACCGCTCAGCTCCAAAGATTCTTCTTCACGAGTGGTGCAGTCATCAAAGTGTCTGCTTCCAAGCGAACCTACTTCCATCCAGAAATAAATCTAAATCTTGTAAGTCTAATGGATTAAGCAATAGTCAAAACGTTACTAGAAATTAAAGCACATTCCTAAAATTCGTTAAAGAAATGAGACCTGATTCAAACCCAAAGACTTGTCACAGTCGTGGTCTTGTTGCGCACTCAGTGTGCTCATGATTTGTTGGGATCTATTTCTGCATGTCAGAATGCATTCTTCAAATTCAGAGTTGAAAATCATTTCGGCTAAAATGTCGAAAGCATTACTCATCCTGCATTTAAACGACAGTTATCCTTCTTTGATCAAACTTGTGCAGACGTCATGTTTTAAAATCAAAAGAACAGCTCAAGGACTAAAAAATTCAACGATACCTTTATTTAACATCTTTTCGAAATTTCCTCAGTTTTATGTTTTATTCGATATAAGAAGGTCATACAGGATGTTTTTTTTAACTTGATACTTCCTTCCTTTGTCTATTTGGTATTGGGTCAATTTCGTGGGTTCAGCGTCACTATAAGGATTTCTAAAGGATTCTGTTTTATATTTATTACCTTAAGTATAATTGTAGAAACTTTTAGTCTTTTGCCGTCCGCTTCAAATTATGTATTTGTAATGTTTTAATGTTTCCTGCAGTAGATACTGCTAACGAAAATTTTAAATGAAATATTTTTCAAGTGAAATTAGTTACTGTTTACTAACATCTCTGCAACTATTTCTGTAGTTTCGATTACTTATCTTTTTATAATTTAAAGAAAAAATAGACTTTTACTTTTGCAGTTTTTCCCTTGCTTGCTAAACTAGGACATCAGAAAAAATACTGGTACATTTTCCTAACTTTTCCTTCCACTTCTAACTCACTTCAAGAAATGTATATATCATTATTGTTTCGCTTAAATATATTAAATATATTGTTATTGCAAGCATATAGTTTTAAAATAAAAGTATTCTTTCTCAGCATTTATAGTTCTTCTCATTTAGGTGACTGGAAAGAAGAACTACTCAAACAGTTTGATGCTGACCAATTACCTGCATTCTTAGGAGGAAATATGACAGATCCGGATGGAAATCCGATGTGTTATACAATCGCAAGTTTTTTTTTTCTCTTTAATTATATTTAAGTAATCATAAGATGTAATCGGGAGAGCAGGAATCGTAAAGATTCTGTATATTTTTTATACAGTTATATTGACTTTTAAATATAATTTTTTTCGTAAAGAAATCTAGGGCTTCTGCAAAATAATCAAATTTATCATTCCGTAATAAAAAAACACATAATAAATAAATATCAGACATTTACAAGCTTGTTGTAAAAGATTTGAAAAGCGCATAGACAAAAGGTCTTTAATAATAGTTTCCGTATACATAGTATATGCTGAGAACAATAGAAACGTAACGAGTTCTGTAAAAATTCTTATGAGCAATAGCTGTAAATCAAGCACCTCTGCATTAAAATTATTGGAAATTCAGCAGAAACGTCTGTTCTGGAAAATAAATTGATCAGCTACGGTATATTGGTTACGTTATAAGGTATTTCTCCCGCCTTCGTATTGTCCGTAGTTCGATTCCCGATGAGGGCTTTGTTTATTTTTCGTCTCTCCTGTTTCCAAAAAATACCTAATGTCTCTACAACGTTATTAAATAGAAAGTGGGAGACGTATAAGCTCAGTTCAACTACTGATGAGAAGGACAGCATATAAAAGATTTGAGACATTGTCATGCATTCATTTCTCCTTATTTAAGTTGTAAGGATCTTAAGTTTTACTAACGTTTATTTTTATTTTAAATCTTTACTATCACTTCTTATTTTCTACTTCCGGCCAGAATTAAAAGCTTTAACTTATTTATGCAAATTTGTCTGGCGAACGCCAAGTACTTAAGTTGTGGCTTTTTGCCAAGCGAGAGAGAGGAAGGAGTTAGTCGAAGCAGGCCGCTTCCCTTTAGCAGTTTTACTCGGTTGCTGGTTGCCTTCCAGGCTAGAGGTTTAATCCTCTTGATAATTTTAAACGTATTGTAGTGTTAACAGTTCTCTGTACTACATACGGCTTCCTGTTAATATACGGGCCCACCAGCGGCCGAGCGGTACAGTCGCTGAACACTGGTAGTTCGATCCGAGGTTCGAATCCCGCGAACGGGCTGGCTGCATGGGTGTTTTCGTGGTTTTCCCCATGTGTAACGTGTATACGAGCCAATTTCCCTTAGAAAGTCCTCCACGAAGGCATCCCTCCCCTTAGGCAGATAGCCCTAGTGTGCTTTGCCATAATTAAATACACACACACCTGTTAATATACGGCCAATCTTCCACGTAGGCCCTTGTTTGTCATTCCAAAGTTAAGTTTAGTTAATATTTTTATATTCTTACGTTCAGGCCACAAGTAGTTGGTCTCTGTATTCCGAAGTACGGAAATTATTGTAAAGAGTGATAAAGGGTTTCGTATACCCTTCCTGTGTATCTTGTCTACTTCGCACAGTTATTGAACATAGCTTTAGTAAGCTCCCTGTTCCGAGTCAGGTCCTTGCATGTTCCCAACGAAAGTAAGGCGGAACATTGAACCTGATAAAGTATAGAAATTTTAACAAAAAAATTGAATGCCCTTTCAGACAATAGGCTGAATTAGCTTTATTAAATGACATCTCACATTGCCATCCAGAAAATAAAAATTATAATCGATAACGGTATGAAATAAATATATTAACTAGAATATTCTCACAATGTGTTCTACCGTGCCATGTTGCACAGAGTCCGTAAGCCGAAATGGTCATTGGAAGAGTTATCAGCCCATGTGTCAAAGTTGCATAATAAGTGTATAAGGTGGAATCCACACATAAACTAAAGTATTTATGTATCGCACTAGGTGTTCCTTGTTGGCATATTCCTATGTTTGTTCTATTTTTTTCCTGTTGCGTCGCAAAGGAAAACAAGATGCTTCGCAAAATAAGCATTCGCTCAAATCATAGTAATAGTCAACCATTTCGTATACATAATTAGAGATTTTATGCCAAAGAGATTTAAATTCCTCATCTAACGATCGATCTCAGTAATAGGAAAGCGACGAACTGGATGATGCAAGTGTTTTGTTTAATGTGTGCAATCATGTGGAACAAAAGCAGACAAACAACATGACTTCGCAAGATGACTCCCTTACTCACACACGCGGAAGAAACGAAGACACAAAAGAGTAATTGCTTTTGAGCAGACTAGAGTCAGTGACGTCACGTAAGAGCAAATTTTGTATTATAGTAACTTCACATGGGCAGTTGCAACACCTCAAGAACAACAGCAAAGTTCAGAGTTTTTCATTGAAACCTAAAAAGTTATGGAGAATATTAATAGTGGCATAACTCTCCCAAATTCATTCTCGGCATCTAGTTTCATTTATTTCTTACTGGAATTTATTCCTTACTTAGTTTGATGTACCTTTATATTTATTTTTATTAATTGGGTTATGGAAAAATACGCTTAGGCTAACTTCCTGAGGGAAGGACTACCTTTGTTGAGGTGTCTCGAAGGGAAAATACGATTGTATTCACGTTACAGGTAGGGAAGGGTACAACACCGTCAAACCCATGTAGTCCATTTGCACAGTTAATTAAAAAAAATCTGTTTGTAGGTATTTGAGAGGCTGGCAGGATTTTTGCATAAGTCTAGGTGGATTGTTGACTTGCTAGTAAACAGAATATTTCAGCTTATTTCGTAGCATAAAAATATTCTCGGTAAGTTTAAGTTTTAATTACTGCATTCATTATAATGTTTGTTTTTCTTTAATTACATGATTTTTCATATGAAGAAAAAAATGCAGCTTCAATCCATCAAATTCTCAGTTATCAATTTCCTATGTTTTGAATTAGGAATATATATATATATAAATGCATGGATTCCATGTATGAGTCTGAACGGAGCTAATAAAAAAATAGTAATAAAAATTATGAACCTAAAAGAATTGACTAAATAAGCTTAAAGTCTACGAAGCATTTACTGCTATCATGCCGCTTATTATTTAATTCATAAACTAATGAAAGATATTCAGGTATATTATAAAACTAGTGAAAGTTTCAAAAAATGTTAAACAGAAAGGCTTTTCTCATACAATAGATATAAAAATAACTTTTGGTAATGTTACATCAAAATGAATATGGTTTAACAAAATGAGTATAATCTTAGGTATTCTTCTTTACATTCTATTAATAGACATCAGTGATATGTGATTTTATACAACATTTACTTACTAGCTACATTAATAATTAATTTCAAACTTTAATTTCTGCTTTTAAGGTTCTCTTTGTACTAGCACCAGTAATTAACATCATATACAAGCTAGTTCTAACACATTTAAAATTATTTTTATGACCTGCATTGCAAATTATTTTTTTAAATGGTTAGACTAGTAAGCAATTTTTAAGAATATTAATGTTTGGATTTATTATTTGTCCTGTCAAAACACGGGATAAAAGGGTTTTACGCTTTTCCACACATTAACTAATATTCCAAATTAGGTACTCCAAATATCACAATACCATGTAATTACACAGCTCTGCAAGTTTTAAGAAGCTTTTTGTAAAAAGGGAAGTGAATATCCGATTCCTACATGCGTTTTGGTTGCTGAATTTAAAACTGGTAATATAAATACTAAATTAATTCGTGTTTGAATGACACAAAAGGAATATGGTTAGAATGAGGAAGAAACGAGAAATTGCAGTGCTTAGGGATTTAAGCTCCTGCCTTTCCAATTTAGTTAGAAATTTTTCTCACATCAGTACATACTGTTTCACTTGTGCACATGTACTATACGTAAGCAACTATATTATAGTTCTATATATATCTTTATATATATTTTTAATAGATGATATGATGTTAAAGTATCTCTCTCAGTCTAATATTAAGATCTGACAAAAAGCGATTGTATTTGGTGTTCTTGTTATACTAATTCACATGCAGGTTTCAAAAGAAAGTAATTTAGTATGAAACTACAATCTTATCCTTATTATTTATTTTAAAAGTTTCTGAGTAGTTACATAGACTAGTAGAGGAAGAATTGAACAGGAATAAAGCAGAAGTATTAACACCCTGGTCGAAACAATAGAATCACCCTGCACAAAATAGGAATCACTTTTTCCCAGTCAGCAAAAAAGACTTGTGCAGTTCAGTTCTCAAAAATGTGATCTCACGTTTTGAGACAATGTGAAAGATTTGTCATTTCAAGCTTGCGAGGTACAATGGATTGTACACTGTTTTGCAAAAAAAAAATGGAAGCACCAAGAAGGACTTTTGCGATCGTGACATCTTGATCGAGCATGCAAATGATCAAAGTTTCAAGGCAAATGAACAGGAATTGCGATCACAGTGCGCAATTCGCAAAGTATAAAACCAGTAATTGAGGCCGAAAAATTTATTTTTTTTTTTTTGTTTTTTTTTTTTTTTTGCTGCCATTGTACGACCGTAAAGAAGGAACAAAAGATGTCATTACCACGTTATGGAAAGCCTAACAGACAACTAAACGACTTCGAACGTGGTCACATTGTAGGGTTGATTGAAGCTGGGTGGTCATACCGAGCAATAGGCCGCCACCTTCAGCGTACAGACATTGCTGTACAAAGATGCTGCCAGCAATGGTTGCTACAAGGAAATTGCAGACAAAATGAAGGCTCTGGAAGGCCAAGGAGCATAAATGCAAGGCAATGATTGTTAGCCAGGGCCATACCGCCCCAACGGTATCATTGTCGACTATTCAACGCACTACCAGCCACGTCTATACCTCCCTTGGTACCGTTCACCATCTCACGGCGCTTGTCTGAGGCAGGGTTACGCTCACAGTGGCTTTTAAGACGTTTGCCTTTGACCCTGCGACATCGGCGGAGTCGTCCGGAGTGGTGTCGCAGCCGATCATCATGGCTGCGATCACACTGGCATTGTATAGTGTTCAACGATGAATCTCGCTTCACTCTTGAAGCAGATGACCATCCTGTTCGTGTCTGGAGAGGATAGGGCCAGCGGTCCCATCAGCCTTTGTTTTATAAAGGCATACAGCCAATAACCCCTGGTGGAGAGGTGTGGGGGGCTATTTTTTATGACATCAGGTCATCTTTAGTC